TGGGGTGCTGTTACCACACCTCAGTATAGGACGTTCATGTGGGCTGTGCATGCTCATCACTCGCGACGGTTATGTGTGATCCATGATTGGACAGTGCCATCTGCACGCTTTTCCTCATCTAGGGATCTGGGGACAACATACTCTTTATAATGAGCCACCCGGCTTATTCGAAAGAGCGCCATGCAGAGGCACGCCTTGTAGAGGAGCTCACTTTGTACATTATGTAAGTAAACCCTCTTTAATAAGTCAACTTTCTCCTGCCTCGACATCTTCGTCTCCAATTTCCGGTGCTGCAAGCCGCAGTCGCAACACCACCAAACCTAAATGAAAACAAAAACAAGCTGTATGCTGTCATCTAGTATACAGCTTGTATAGTACTAGCTGTGTACTAGAATATTGACAATGCTACATGTACTCGCATTTTCTATATATAGTTGTATATTTGTACCTTACAAGCAGACTATTTTGGTGAAATGTGTGTGAGACTACTTTGTCGTACTAGTCGCTCTGTGACAACTTTGACATCTTACTGATTACATTTAGCTTTTTCACCACCTTTGATCTCAAGCGTTTATGTCCCAAGAACAAGCACCTTTAAGTGATAATAAATGTTAATTCATATAGCTTACCTAATTTTGAAAATTTATATGTTGGTTACTTTCGCAAAATATAAAATCAACACTTAGTGTTCAAAGACCATCCATCTGCCTAATGATGATTCTTGCAGTATGCAGTGATTATTTATGTGCAAGATGTTTAATAAAAAATGACAGAACCCACGTACAGAGGGAATCAATGATATGCGAAGCACGAATGAGAGAGATTGATATGTAACTTTAAAATCAGCACAACGTTGCGTGGTGAACGGCCGTAGTGCCTAGTAAACACAAGTAGACGTGTTATATGCTTTTACGTATCTAGTTAAGATAAAAGTATGTTGTTTATAGTCGGTTAACGCCGGCACCTTTAACGTTTGCAATACCAGCACCAGCAGTGGTAGGCGAGTAAATTATGCCATGCATGACTTCCATGTCATGAGTATCATGCTTGAGCTTGGCATTTGTGTTCGACGTCCATTCATGTCCCGTAATACCTAATTTGGTATATGTGAAGCTAGCGAAACGGCTGCAAATGCATCATGAGCATGGTATGCAGTCAAGCTCTTACATGACATGCATGTTATGATGACCATTGTATTAATACTGATTGTTGGCATAGCTGGTACTTGCTTACTGACATGCTTTGGCCGCAAATAACACACACACAAAGTAAAGAAACACTCAATGACAAGCACAAGCCGCTTGTGCTTGTTGTTGAGTGTTTCTGTATTTTGTGTGTGTGTTATTTGTGGCCAAAGCATGTCAGTAAGCATGATGACCATGTTTGGACGTGTCATATACCTTTGTCGTTTGTTCGCGTCACGTAATACAAATTTTGGTATATGTGAAGCTAGAGAAATGGTCCTGAGCGCACCTTGAGCGTGGCGTGTAGTCATGTTTTACATGACACGCATATCATGATTATCATGTTTGGACGTATCATTTACCTTCGTCGTCTGTTAACGTCACGTAATAATGAGTTTCGTATATGTGAAGCTAGTGAAACGGCCTCGAGCGCATCATAAGCGTTGCATGTAGTCATGTTCTTACATGACATGCGTGTCATGATTACCATGTTTGCACCAATCATATACCTACGCTGTTCATTCACGTCAGGTAATACCAAATTTGGTATATGTGAAGCTAGCGAAACTGCCCCGAACGCCTCATGAGCGTGGCATGTAGTCATGTTCTTGACACGCATGTCACGATTTCTACAATAGGGCCTGTTACTTAAGTTCGCCATTCAGTCATGTCATACCTTACCAGTTTTGCAATATGTCATATAAACCTGATCACCGCAAGAGTAGCAAGATCATAAAATGTAAATCATGGCATTCATGACATACATATCATGCTAGGGTTAAAGCTTGGGTGAGTTGGTTCATATACATATTAAAAAACCCAGCGCAAAAATGGCAGGAAAGAAAGCAGGAGACAGGACAGAGCGCTGACTTACAACTAATTTTTATTTAGTGATGGGAACACATATATATCATGGCAGGCAAATAACACATGTCTACCACAGTATCACAAATGTCGCATGAACGTCATCATCACCGTGTCGCCACTCTGTCACCGCAAACGTGCTCATCCCAAAGATAATTGATATACATATGATTTTCATGTTATGATTAGAAAGTTATGCTCGTCGTACAGTCCTATTATGCCGTACCAATTTCGGTCCAGATCCCATTTTCGAAACGGCCAGGGGAGCTGAAAGTTGTAGGCGGCTAGATAAATACGTGGACAGACAGACAGACAGACAGACAGCAGGCAGGCAGGCAGGCAGGCAGGCGGGCAGGCGGGCAGGCGGGCAGGCGGGCAGGCGGGCAGGCGGGCAGGCGGGCAGGCGGGCAGGCGGGCAGGCGGGCAGGCGGGCAGGCGGGCAGGCGGGCAGGCGGGCAGGCGGGCAGGCGGGCAGGCGGGCAGGCGGGCAGGCGGGCAGGCGGGCAGGCGGGCAGGCGGGCAGGCGGGCAGGCGGGCAGGCGGGCAGGCGGGCAGGCGGGTAGGTGGGCAGGCGGGTAGGTAGGTAGGTAGGTAGGTTCAAACTTGTTGAAGTTCTCTAAGAAATGCTTTACATTTAATAAGTAATATATATTGTCACAAGGTCATGACGTAGACCAAAGCAGCAGACTCCATGTTCTGATGAAACTTTTTTTTCAGCTGAACTTGAGGGGAGTAAACCGAAAGTCAGATTACAGCAACACACGGGCACTGATAGCGGCGAACAGAGCGTCAGTCGGTGATCAGCTGACAAGCGGAGAAGCGCGTCAGCATTTATACATTTGCCATCGAATATTCTAGGGTTATCGCTAGCAGCCACGTAAGTTCCAGAATAATCTGTAAGGTTCGCGAAGTGGGCGTAATCTTAATGGAATGATCTACTCTAGTCTCGAAGCTTCGTGAACACTGCAACCATAGTTTGCACTGAGAATTACATACAGTGTAACAGGGTGACAACTAAACTTGAAAAAGGAACGTGCCATAGCCCCCCTCTGAAAAGGGATCATCCCGATGCTCTAACAAGAGATGAAAGTACAATAATAATGCAAGGAAGTACACGCAATAAATTATGATACAGCAATAACCACAATAAAGTATGCTCTTTTAGTTCGTTAACCTGCATGGATCGGCTTGAGGCGCTCGACATTGACGACTTCAGGTCGGGATCAGCGCCATTGAGAGTTTGTGATACAGGCGGGGACAACCTCGTAATTGAGTGGGCCAAGACGTCGAACAATTTTGTATGGTTCGAAGTACTGTCGCAATATTAGGCTTAATTATGCATTAACTCCAGAAGTCGTTTGATATATTTTGCTATCTGCTATGCAAAACACCAGTAGCTGCTTCAGGCTAGATTTTTTTCTGCTCCAAAAACAGTAAAATCTGCTCCAAAATGTCACTTTCATCACTGCAAGCTTAATTTCAAAAACTTTGGACTGAACACGTTTGACGAACATTCTAGTCTGTAAGTGTTCTTGGATAGTTTATGCATAAGATTGCATTGTAGTGCAAGTGGTTGTTTGGGGTGGTTTTTTTAAATGTATTGGAGTACCTTGTGAGTTGCGTTGTATTTGACAATTGCCGAGTGTGCATGTTTGTTTGTTGCTTATACTGCCATATCTCAGAATATAATTTGTTTTCTTATTCACTGTCGGCTCTGACTCAACCTTTGGACCGCAACTGGTGTTCGCTGGCAGACCAAACGAACCAACACTAAATTCTTTGTGGTTTTGTTGGGCATTTCAGGGGCCCGATACTTCAGCTCTTGGAATCAGCCCGGCGATTGCCTCTTTATTAAAGAACGAGTGACACCTGGGGAAATGGGTCCCCGCTGCCTCAGCTTTAGTCATGTCGAAAGTCACCGGCTTTGCCTATTGCCGAAAAGTAGTGGTCTTCACTGAGGAAATTTCAGAAACACTTGCCTTTCAGATTGAAGAATGACAGCTTCAAGTCTCATCTTTCATCGCCATTTGTTTTGCAATGTGGGTTCATGCGAAAAGGAGCAGACAAGTTTTCGAGGAATGAGCGATGTTTATTGCCTTATGTTCATCGTTGCATGGCCGGTCCCAATAAGCTGCTGGCAGGTCACGGCGCAAGCGTTTTATTTTGGCATGCTTAGCGTTACCGACTTGACTATCAACAGCAGTGCTCAGCTGGACACCACAGACTGCATTGAGATAAGGGTGGAAGCAACACATGTCTTTCACATCATTGTATGAAAACAGATGTGTTGTGGGGTGACCTCCACCTCTTCATTATCTAGTCTGGCATCACAGGCCTGCACACTGCACCACTTCTTTGATAAGCAACACCGAAGAAATACGTCAGTGGCGGTGGCTACAAAACCAAGCTGCCAAGCTTTGAAGAGAATTGTTACTTCAGTACCCAGATGAGTGTAGATTCAGCATGCTCTGCTGCTGCTGCTGTTAATTGCTCAAGCTTTCTTTACAGCTTTATCTTTGTGACATATCCACCACCAAGTGCCAAAGACAGTGCAGACAACAGGACAAAGAGTGTCCCGGTTGTTCTTCGTTCCGTTGTCTCCATTTTTTTGCCACAATGTTCATGAGCCAACTAGACCGCCCTTGTGTATCCACCTCTGTCGCAGATCTAGGGATGCATAATTGGAACTCCATTTTGAAAAATAGATTATTAGATCATCCCTTTTTGAGAAAATGTGTGGCCCTTCCACTATTTTGAACTGTTTTTATTTGCCCAATGAGGGTGAATGAAAAGTGTATGCATGCGTATTTAATAAAGCTTTTAAATGAAAGCATGGGTGTGCATTCTTTATTCTCCATTTTGAATTTTGCGCCATAACCAGGAAAGGGCTATCTTTCACCATAAGAGGGGCTCAGCATTTCATCGGTGCGCTTCCATCCCTGTCTTTCTCAGGAGTCCCTGGTGAAGCAGATGACCAAGGAGAACGGCGTGCTGGTCACCTCGTACGCCTGTGTCTCCAAGATGTCTGGGCTGCTGCTCAAGCACGAGTGGCACTACGTGATCCTGGACGAGGGCCACAAGATCCGCAACCCTGACGCTCAGACTACGCTTGCCTGCAAACAGGTGCGAGAAGATGTGCTAGGAAAGCTTTTTGTCGGGCTAAAGACACTTACCATCAAGGAAGAAAATTAAAGATGCCCGTTCTGTCCTTTCAGTTTACACCATGTGTTGCCAGTGCTGCACTGTTCTCTGCAGTGGTTACGGTGCTCAGCTGCCGATCCTCAGGTTCGATAAAATATGCGGCGGTTGCATTTCAATGAAGACGAAATACTAGAAACTCATATGCTGTGCAATGTAGTGCACTAAATGGCATTCACAAAACCCTAAGGAGAAATTTTGGAAGCGTTCTGCATTAACTCCTTTAATGTTCAATTTTTTCTAAAGCTTCCCTGACCAAAATTGCCTATTTTTTAAAAGCAAAGCATTTCTTAGTGAACTTCGGCGACTGAGCAACTTTGATCTACCTACCTACTTTCCTACCTATCTACTTACCGCTAATCTTTCTATACCTCGTACAAACAAATTTTCACTGTTCCTGCCTTCGTTATTTCCATCTTTTTCTTTCTTTTCTCCTTTTTCTTTTTTTTTGGAGTTCTGGTTGAGCCCCAAAACTGGCCTTGCGGCACTCACTGGCTGCACCGAACTGGGACTGCCTGCTCCCTGCCTCGCGCCTGGATTTCAGACGATTCTGGTGCCTTCGCTTGCATGAAGCACAGTGAAAGGTACAGGCGCATTGGTTCTTCTCTGGAACTTTTGGCCGAGGGTGAATGAATTTGTGGCTGAAAGAAAGGAGAAGGCACTGTTTTCTGCAGCCCATGCGGGAGCACGGCTTAGCGCCTTAAGGGGGGGAGGGGGGTGTGTTGAGTGGAGAAAAAAGTTTAGGAGTAGGTAGGAAGAGAAGGTTTGGAGAAACTTGTGTGACGGCCATGGCAGGTAGAGCGGAATGCGGTCATGAGCTGGTGGCAGGGCAGTCCAAGTAGTAGGACCTGGGAGTGTGGGGCTGCAAGCATTACCAAAAGGTAATACTTGCAGCCCCTTTAACTTTACTCTCTTTAGCTCTTACTCCTCTTTCTGTGTCAGAAAGAAATAAAATAAACTTCAAATTTCAAATAAATGAGATATTCGAGCGTTCTACAGATTCTATGATAGCCCCGTGTAATCCAAGTATTCCAAGAGGCTCCTGAAGGCTGGTTCCTGGCAGGTTACCAGAAACAGCAAGTTGTCCTGGCTGCGTTGCAAGCCGCGGCATCGTGCCTTCTTTCCCGATCACATTCCACGCTTCTCTCTGACCACCCAGCCTCCGCTCTGGAGAACTTCCTTTTACCATCTCTCCCCCAACTGCCAGCACTTCGAAGCCTGGCAGAGTTCCTTGAAGAGACGGGAATCGCGACCTACAGCTAAGACTGGGTCTCTTTCCATCACTTCCCTGCTGCCGGCTTGCTGTTTATGCCATTGAGCAAGCCTCGTCATGTCTAAAAACACCTTCTTTCCTCTACCCACTTTCATCCCACTTCCCCTTCACAAGACACTGCGCTGTGTGCTCCCTATTAGGCTGCAGAAATTAGGTGTTTTTTCTTTTTCGAACCACACATTCATTCATGCCGGTGGCTGTTTCAAGGTGGCAAGGAGGTTGACTCGCCACCGCTCTGTGTATGATGCGGTGCCACGCCGTCTTTCATGGTTGTTTTTTTCGTTGTGCGCGCTTGCAAGGGGAACCCGCTGGCGACGCGGCTGCTTTTCGTCGTTCGAAGGCGCGCTCGTTTTGTGACACTCTGACAGCTTTGCCTTGTCCGGTACCCAATTATGGATATCCGACGCTTCTTCAGGTGTCCACGGATGTCTGACAGAGTGTCACGAAGCTGTACGGCGGATGATTCTAGTGTGGTGTGTGACAATTTTGCAGAATTTTATCAGCCTAGTGATGCAGACTTTCACTATTAAACAGTGTCTGAGCTCGCTGCCACCATGAAAGAGGTTCCACCATCAGTGAGCTACCATCACACAGTAAGCCTCGATGATACATCACCTTGCTTGGGAATAAATAACATTGACAACAGCAAGCAAACTAACATTTCTCGAGAATATAGCTTGGGAGAGTTTCTAGACAAAGCTGGACACGCTGGCATCCCAGACAACTTTAAGTTACGCTTTCTGACTAATTCAAGGTCGCCAAATGCTACACATGACTTTAAGATAGATGTAACACCTGGAAAGAGGACTTTTTGCTGCCAATAGCTGGAAGATTACGCCTCTTGGCTTGCGTACTCAGCGACACTGAAAGGCGCCCTTTGTCGTTTTTGCGTCACATTTCCTCCAAACGTTCATCGGGGCACTTAAAGTAGCTTTATCGTGCGCACTTTCAGTAACTAGAAAAAGATGCACGAGGCGTGCAGGGATTATGTGAAATCCCTATGGCACCAGGAAACAATGGCCACCTCGCATGAGTTCATGGGTGTGATGTCAGGCAAGGTATTACCCATTGTTCAGCAGCTAAACAAAGCCCTGCAGGAGCAAGTTGAAAGAAACCACCAGAAACTAATTCTGATCATTTCCACCATTATGTTTTGGGCAACGCATGACTCTCCAGTATGTGGGGAGCAACCTGACAGTGGAGTTTTTAATGATCTTCTTGACTTTCGTGTAGAAGCAGGAGATACTCTGCTTCAAGAACACTTTGCATCTTCTCCTCGTAATGCAGAATACACTTTAGTCCGAGTCTAGAACGAGATCATCACAAGCTGTGGCGACATCCTGAGAGAGGAACTAGTGGCTGAAGTTGACACAGCGTTTGCTTTTTCTGTCCTTGCCGACAAAAGTGCAGATATTGCAGGAACAGAGCCGATGTCTATAGGCATTTGCTTCAATGACAAGGAAGAAACGAATGCCTGCGTTCGAGAGCATTTTATATGATTTGTGGAGTTGAATCAGCTGAACTCAGCTTGCATCGCCTCCGCAATCTTGAATTTTTTAAAGGATGCTTGGCTAAATCTTTCGAACCTCGTTGGAAAGTGGTTTGATGTGTGCTCCACAATGGCTGGAAGAAAAGCTAGAGTTGAAAGAATAATACAGAAAGAGCTTCCAAAGTCATTATTTTTTCACTGCACAAGCCACAGACTGAATCTCATGATCAACGACTTGAACTAAGTCTCATAAATTCGCAGCATAATATGAATCTTCAAGCAAACCATAAACTTCTTCCTTGAGAGCGTACTTCGAAGGAAATTGGTTCCCAACATTCGGATGCTGTGTGAAACAAGGTGGTCTGCAAAATACAAGTCAATTAGGATCTTCTGAGAACTATCATTGAACTTATTTACAGCGCAACACTAGAAAAAATACAGGACAGGGAAAGAGCAAAAGAGAACGAAAAGACGGCGCTCTCTTTTGCTCCTTCCCTGTCGTGTATTTTTTCTAGTGTTGCGCTGTAAGTAAGTTCACGATGGATCCTAACTAATTGGCCCAACTTACCGTCTTACTCTTCAGAGAACATTACGGGGCCATAGTTGAAGCACTCGAGGCGCTCTCATCAATGAAGTCAACCTCGAGTGCTTCAACTAGGCAACGAGCTCACATCCTCTACTGTGCAACGACAAGCTCATCTTTCATTGTCAGCTTGCACATTGTAGCGAAGTACAGCACCCGACTGTAACCTGTTACGAACGTTCTGCAGAGTGTTACTATGAACTTTCATCGGTACACAACCGCATCACTGAGCTGCAGAATATATTTCGGGACCACCAGACCAACGCTTAAGAGCAGTTCTTTGACATAATTGAGAGCAGCAAGTGAGGCAGCCAATCGCTTAAACATATTAATATCTGTGCTAAGGCAATCCTCTCGTCAGACCCACCGAGACAACTACAGGATACAGTCGCCAAAGAAATATACCGCGTGGCAATATATGCGCCTTACTTGGACTCTCTCACTGCTTCCTTGGCTCGCCGCTTTTCTGACACTAATGAGAAGAACTTCAAGCTTCTCCTGCTTCATCCAGCAAAAATGAAGTCTTTGAGCCTTGTTGAGTTTGCTGACCTTGCTGATGAACTCCAAGAATTATATATCATCGAAAACTTCAAGGAAGGAAGCATATCTTGGTACGAGATGTGGCACCACAAAACTAGGGACACCCCTGAGTTAACTTATTCTGAACTTTTGCTTCAGGCCAAGACATTCTTCCCCGCTGTCGCAAAAGCCATTGAGGTAGCTCTGCCAGTTAGCACCTGCACCGTCAAACGCTCCTTCAGTACGATGAGGAGAGTCAAAACATAGCTACGCTCAACAATGACAAATGACAATTTTTACAGCCTTTGTATGATAAGTGTGCACCGAGAGCATGTTATGAAACACAAGGATGAATTTATCACGCGTGTCATCACGCAATTTCCCAGAGACGGTTGCAGCTACTATTCAAAGAAAACTGACGGACTGGACAACAGTTTTATATTGGTGACCATGTTGTGCTTTGCGTTGGTGATCAGTTCGTGCAAGTTGAAATCACGCATGCAGCGAGACTGGTCATGCACTCTTCTTCACCGAGAGGTGCTAACAATGCACTTGCTCTAGGACAAGTTGGTGCCTCAGTTTGCTAAACATGTTAATTTTGTGCAAAGCTTAGGCATGAAAAAAAAAAGCGTCTTCGCTCACTGTGCTACCACTGCGGTGAAGCTGGGCACACATACCGTTGCTGCCAGTATCGCTAGATGAGACTACGTGGTTTCGCCATGGACGCGCCGCGTCGACAGCAAATTGAAAGACCACGTGACATCACCGACTATCTCGCCGGAGCGTAAAGGACACTTTGGGGATCATCTCGTTCACCCTCACCAGGCCACTATATGTCACCGCACCGTTGGATGTACACTGGCTCGAACTCGGGCCGGTCGCCTAGTCCGTATCAGGAAAACTAAGGGCAGCTACGGATGGAGTTACAGATGCTGTACGACGAACTGCCGAAGGTTTTCCTCTTCCTCCGCCACCGCCGCCATGACGAAGCCCCAAGAACGTGCCAGTTCCTGAATGCAGCTCCGACGTTGATACTTCGCGGCCAGCAGAATACCTGACGA